TGGCAAGCAGGGTTGTGTCATCTCCATAACACAGATTGTTGATGAGTCTTCCTCTAATTCTGATGCTACATTCCTTCTCATAGAGTCCAACCTCCCAAATGATCTGTTCTGCATATAGATTGAAAAGTTATGGAGACAGGACACATCCCTGAGTACACCTCTCCTGATTTTAAACGATGGAGTGTTTCCTTGCTCTGTTCTGATGACTTCCTCCTGGTGCAAATATAGGCTTCACATAAGCACAATCAAGTGTTCTGGGAATCTCATTCTTCTCAGAGTTAGCCACAGTTGGTTGTGATCCATACAAAGTCAAATGCCTTTGCATAGTCACTGAGACAATGAAAATGATGTGTATAGCAATTGTGAAATTAGGCATCTTGCTTTGTTTTTCATTTTTGGGGAACATTTTAATTTAATACATACTTGCCGTGGCTTTTTCAAAAGAATGTTTTAATGTCGAGTATAACCTCTCTTACGCATGAGAAGGATGGGCAATCTCCACTCATGCTATTAAACTGCCTCTGAAACCTGCTGAAGGGTCAGCCATGGGTCAGGTCCCACTCAACAGCACACAACAACAACAACAATGATAACAACACTCTTAATATACTGAGTGGTTTAATGATTTTTTTAAATTACAAAAGTGTATTGAATTTTCTTAAATACCTTAGATTAGTATCTACTGAAATGATTACATGTTTATTTTCCTCTGATATATTAATATGGAGTATTGATTTTCTTATATATTTTGTTATATTAATGTGGAGTATAGAAGGAGAATTGATGCCTTTGAGCTGTGGTGCTGGAGAAGAGTATTGAGAGTATCATGGACTGCTAGGAAAACAAACAGATTCATCCTAGAAAGGGTTAAACCGGGAGGCTCCTTGGAGGCAAGAATTCTGAGGCTCCGTCTAACATACTTTGGACATGTTGTGATGAGAGACCGGTCCATGGAGAAGGACATCATGCTTGGGAGGGTGGAGGGACAGCGCAGGAGGGGAAGACCCTCTATGAGGTGGATTGATTCAGGGGTAATTGGGATGGGAGTGTCAGAGACAGTGCAATTGGCACAGGACAGAGTTTAGGGCTGTTATACATAGGATCGCTATGAGTCGCAGCGACTCGATGGCACATAACAACAACAACAACATATTACTTTCTTGTTCAGAGGCTCATGCGTGAAGCAGTTGGATTCTCAAGAATAGGTTCTCTTGTTTTGTTGAAAGTTGGGTGGAAACTGGTGGGTTTTTATTTTGTTTACAATCATGTGAAAGCTGATTTGATTTACTGGATTTAGCTAACAATCAGCTATGGGCTAGAAGTCTCTTGTTTAAGTCAATCAGGACCTGGTGGTCAGGGCTTTGCATTTAAAAGTTGGTTGGCAATAAGAGAGATGCAGATCAAAACCACAGTGAGGTACCATCTCACTCCAGTAGAAATGGCAAAGTTTAACAGGACAGCAAGTAATAAATATTGGAGAGGATGTGGTGAGATAGGAACTCTTATACATTGTTGGTGGGATTTTAAAATGGTTCTACCACTCTGGAAGGCAGTTTGGTGTTTCCTCAGAAAGCTGAATGTAGAAGTTCCATTTGACCCAGCTATTCCACTGCTTGGGTTAGACCAAGGGAGAATGATAGCTGAGGCACAAATGGCAACTTGTACACTAATGTTCATAGCAGCATTATTCACCATTGCATGAACATGGACACAGCCCAAATGTCCAACCACAATAGAATGGATTGAGAAATTATGCTCCAGTCACATGATAGAATACTACACAGCGCACAGGAGCAATGATTTCATAAATCACTACCTAACTTGGGAGGGACTGGAGAGCACTACATTGATTGAACTAACTCAGTTCCATAAGGACAAACACTGTAGAAAACCATTGTTGTAGAATGAGTATGAGGATCCAAGGGGGGAGAGGGGAGGAGCAGAGGGGTGATGATGGGTTGGGCGTGGAGGGTGGTTAACCATAGGATTGCACAATTTGATGGGTGGAGGGGTGGTAGAGGAAATGGGAAAAATTTGGTGTAAAACACAATGTATAAGAACTTTTTATTATTTATTTATTTATTTCAATGGAACTTTTAAAATCACTATTAAAAAAAAAAAAGAAAAAGAAGAAGGAAAAAGAGTCGGTTGGGCCCTTGGGCCTGCATCCTTTGGGCCTGTGGCCTTCGGGCCTGGTGTTAATTGTGTTTGGGAAGAATTTTCTTCTAAGTGGTACAACACTGGTCTGTCAGTTTACTGTATTGAGGTAACTTGGGGTTGCTGTGATGTTGAGTGCTATGCCACTGGAGTGTCAAATGCCATAATGGTTACCCATGGTGGACTCTGCATGGTGGAGCTCCCAGATTAAGACAAATTTGTAGCAGGATTGGCATCCACTTACTATACAACATGCCTTTGGAAGCGCTGTGAACATTAGAGAAACAACATTAGAGAAACAATGATAGTTATAGAACAGGGTTCAGATCCTTTGTTCGTAAGGTCACAATATGAGTTGTGCTCAACTTGATGGCATTTAAAAACAATGATTTTATTTTCTTATATTAATACCTTTGCATTCTTCAGATAAGCTCCCCTGGGTTATGGTGCGTAAACTTTTTAATATGTTGTTGGTTTGGCTTGCTGGTATTTTGCTGATTCTTGTATCTGTTTCATAAAGAGATATTAGTCTTGTGCTTTCTTCCTTGATTTTTTTTGTTTTCTTCCTTGTCTTGCCATCAGGGTAATGCTGGCCTCACAGAATGAGTTAGGAAGTATTCCCACCACGTCTGTGTTTTAGAAGTGTTTTAAAAGGATTGGTGTTAAATCTTCTTAAATATATAGTAGAATTCACAAGGAAAGCCATCTGGTCCTGGGATTTTCATTGTTAGATGGCTTTAAACCACTAAGTTTTGGTATCCTTTTTTACAATGCATCCATAGATAACTAGAATGCCTGCCTTTTGGTCTAGCCTTAAATGTGATAAAGGTAAAGTCTATACTTTGCTTGGGTCTCCACGCCTAATACTCTCCTCCTTGGTAAGTGAGGAACAATTTTTTTCTGAGTTACAATTTTCTCTCCCTGATGGCTGCTGGTTTTGACCAACAGAGATTTGTGTTACAGTGTAAAACTGACCTACAGAGTTTTCTTGGACACAACAATAGTAACAAATCTTTATGGAAAAAGATCAGGAGAAGCAGATGCCAGGTCTTTCTCCTATAGAGTCTGGATAGGCTTGAATCCTTAAATTTTTGATTAGCAGCTTTGCACTTAACTGTTTGTTCCACAAGGAATCCTTAGATTTGTGGACACAACAAACAGATCATTCATATACTAATTTACCGTTTTCAGTCAGTCAATTTACTATCTTGAATGAGATGCTTTCTCTGACTCCTCCACGTGGGAAAGCAGCCACTCTTTATCCTAACTCTTGCCACTGAGTATTGCTATGGCACATTTGTGTCTCTCTCATTGACTAGGAGCAAACAAGTTCCTTCTGTTTTAGCCATTTTTGTATTCGGAGAGTCTAGCAAAGTACCTGCTCATAGCAGGCTTATGTGAAAAACAAAAACAAAAAACCACAAACAACAAAAGACACTTACCTGAAGGAGAGCTGCTAGTTTCTGGACCTGTAAGTAATTTATTCTCAGTGAAGAGCTCCTAGTATTTACAATTCAGCACAAAACAATCTGTGGGGCCCACCCTGATAAGCTATCTGAATTGAGTACAGTAGTCCAACAGAGTCCAACTATTGAGAGAGGCACAGAAAGGATTTATTCACGTATGTCATAATAGATATTTATTAGATATTTATTAATCACTTAACACATGGCAAACTCTCAATTTCTTATTAAATACCAGCCACTATTGTAGGTATTGAGTATGTAACATCTGGCAACAGATAGGTAACATTGTACTAGATGCCGAGAAAGAATATCACAGGAGGGTGAATTCTAAGGATGTTGGTTAGATTTTTAGTCAGGGCAGCCTTGAACAGGTTTTCAGCAGGAGTGGTCATGAGGGGGGCGGACTCTAGGGGGCGGGAATACTGCAGGCAACAAGAGCTGTAATTTTAAGATGCAGATATTTTCTGCCTGATTAAAAGCAGGAGGCATGTGCCTATGGGAGACAAGGTCGCTTGGTGGTGTTCTCTGGGGGCAGTGGGCTACATTTTTCAGTGCAAGCTCGGTTGTCCAGCACTGCTGGGAGGGTTGCGGAGGAACTGCAGCCTTAGATTCTCAGATTTCTCCATATTCCGCACATCTAGAGTCCTTCGTCCCAAGAGCAGCAGACGCAACATCTCAGGTCAGGTTCCTTGCTGCATGCAGGGTGGGTAAATTTCAGACCAGTTTGAGACCTTGCAGAGCAGCATCCAACCTTGGGTCCCAGGGTCTGCAACACTCGGCCGGCGGGAGAAGGCGGAGCTTATGCTGCGGACCTAGGCGGTGGCGTGAGCTCCGCCCCCTAAGATAGACCCCGCCCCAAACCCCTGATGATTGGTTAACAATCGCGGAAGGGATGGGCGTCTCTGTGGGGTTGGGAGTGTCAGGTTGGGCTGGGTGCACTGATTGGACCAGGAGGGATTAGGTCATCGCTAGCAGGTTCGAGCAGCCCGGGACGCCGGCCGGGCGGCAGAGGCTGCTGTGAGAGGGCGCTAGAGGGTTCAGGAGCTGGAGCAAGCTAAGGAGGCGGGGAGGCGGTGTCTGTGCTCACTCGCCTGCTCAACTCGCTTCCCGGCTTTGATTCAGGTTCGCTGCTGCGCTTCCTTCTCTCCCCCTATTCTGTTGCGCGCCCTGAAGCAGCTGCCTGTCGACTTGATCCAGATTCATTTTGGGAGTTGTACGTGTCTGTAGCACCGAGCCCGAAGGGCGAGTAGGCGCCACACCTGTAGAGCCAGTGGCCGTCGGGGCTGCTGGCCGATCTCTCTCCCCGCGTGTGGGCTCCGGTGACGGTCCGCCCGGCCCCGGGGGAAGCGCGCCCCCCGGTTGGGCGCTGCAGACACCATGGGGCTCCCAGCCCTCGAGTTCAGCGACTGCTGCCTAGACAGCCCGCACTTCCGAGAGACGCTCAAGTCACACGAAGCGGAGCTGGACAAGACCAACAAATTTATCAAGGAGCTCATCAAGGACGGGAAGTCACTCATCAGTGCGCTCAAGAGTGAGTGCCCCCAGGCCGGGAGAGGAAGGGAGGGGCGGGACGGGCCGGCGGGTGGTGCTCACTGCCTGTGGTCACCCTGCAGCCGTAGGTGTGTATAGATGCTCTTAACGAGATAGGAAGGATATTAATGTATTTTATGAATGTGACAGGCAGCAGCAACCAGCTGAGGAAAGAGACCTGTCGCCGAGCCGTTTGCTTTCTGGCTTGATGGGGAAGTGACCTGGGCACGAGAGGTGCTCTTGTGCGCTGCGGGTGGGTGTGCGCGGTACACCGGCGTCTCGCGAGTTGGGGGCAACCTGTTGGGAAACCCCAACCCATCATGGCCCTGACTTGGGTAGGGGAAGAGTTGCTTTCCCCTGAGTGTCCAGCTGTGGGGTTGGAGCGTTGGAGCAAGGGGGCGCTGCCTTCTCTCAGGAAAAGGCAGGTGTGACTATTTCGATCCCTGCATGTAGCTCCTGCCTCATGGTCTCAGGTTCCCGGAAAGGCGCAGGCACTGTTCAGAGAGGGGCTGGATGGATTGGTTTTGGAATGGCCTGGGATTTCTTAGATTATTGGCAGCTAGTTACCCCCATATCTTGATTCAGTTCCATTTACGTGTGCAAGTTCTGATTCTTGTGTATAGCAGAAGGTGATAGGGGTGGGAGTAAAGAATCAGAGTGTTCCTTTACTCTAAACTGTGGGCGAGGGTTTAAAAATAGAATGAACATATCCTGACTCCCTCTCTTGTTCCCTTTTTTTCACCTTTCCCATTATCTTAGAAAACTCAAAAGCCTGAAAAGGAATGTCCTTTGTCGTCATCCAGAAAGGGGAAGTTTTAAATTCATCTTAAATATTCTCTAATCTTATGTAAAATTAAATTTTGTTTTCCCTCCATTTGGTAGGGAGAAATGAAATTTACATCTTGTGCATGGCTTCGCTTTGACTATATGAGAAGCCAGCGAATTTCTCTTTTTTTGGCCAAATAGGGTGTGCTCTAGGGATCAGCACCTTGGACTTTGAAAATGGTTTTGCTTTCTTGTGCGTTTATCCATTTTAAAAATAGTTCAGCCCACCTTCAGTTTTCAGGATCAGGAATAACATGAAAAGAGACAGTGTAATTGTCTTTGACTCTTATTTTTCCTGTCTTTGTGACAGATTTCTTAATAGTATGATCTTTTAGCTATGAAACGTTGCAGGTGTAGAGGAGGATCGAAGCCGTGAGAGGATTGTACTTTAAAGAATGTCTGAGATGTCATTTTGTGAGCCTGCCTGCTTCTAACGGATTTCTGGTGGCCTAGCTCATAGGGAGTTGCTCTGAAAATCAAAAAGCGCAGTAGTTCAAATCTACCAGTGACTCCTTAGGAAAAAGGTGGACAGTGCCCTCCTGTGAGGTTTACAGGCATGGAAACCCAGTGGTGGGTCAGCTATGAATTGATCCTGATTTGATGGCAGAAAGAAAGAAGAAATTGTTGCTTCTAAAAATGAAGACAAATAATGGAATCCTAGGGAAGCTATGGTAAAGGCTCATGAGTTTAGTCGACCTGACAACATGTAACAACAACGACAGTAGCAAATGTTTTTTGCGGTAAAACGAGCACAAAACTGTTGGAAGTAATGAGGCATCATAGAGACAGAACCTTTGTTGGCGGCTGTGTCTTACCTGGAGCATGTGCAGAGACCCTTCCTTTGTCATTGACAAGGGACATCCTTGGCTTGGAGAACACCTGACCCCTGGTTTGGAGCTAGTTAGGGACACATTTAGAGGTTGTGCCTAGGAGTTTTGCTTATATGCTACGGTTGGCTTTAATTTTGTCCTTTGCCTCCTTCAGCACTTTGGAGTGACTAGGGTACACTAGGCATTATAATGAATATTCAGCTGCCTCTGGTTAGAGGAGTTTATATGGTATCATATTGGATACCACTTCACCTAAGAATTATACAACAGCGAAGAATTAAGGCTAAAGCCACACTGTTCTCTTGAGCAGGCTAAGTTTTATACACAGTGATCTGAACCAGAGATGGAGTTAATGCTCTTGGAAACCTCTGGATCCTGCTCTAGCCTGGAAGGCACTCTCTATCCCAGTCCTGCTTGAATTTGGCCTTATGTTTCCTATTTCAGCTTTGAATCTGAGGAGAGTGCATTGGGTGACTGGCAATTTACTCAACACCTGTTTTCAGGCATTCCGTTATCACCTAGATGCTGGCTATGTTGTGTACCACTATGTTAATATCTATATATGATTTTCCTGAAATCTTTCCCAGTACTGTAACTATAAAACCAGCTTTTCCTAGTATGCTTTAAAACAAATACAAAATTATTTAAGTAACACTGGTTTGGATGAACTTTTATTCTCTTCCAGATCTAAAATTTTATGATTTCTCTCATAAGTCATATGCTTGTATGTTTGAGGTTAGTTTTCCTTTGAGCATTAATCATAGGCAATAAACCTTGGCTTCGGGTACTGTCAGAGTTCAAGTAGATTGTAGATATTGTTATTTCCACTTTGTGAGTGAAGAAATGGAGAGTGAGGTCAGTAACCTGTACAAAGTGACATAGCAGTCAAGTTCAATTAACCGTAAGCACCTCTGTCCCCTAGGCCAGTGGTTCTCATATATGTTAATTTCTTAATCCTGAGAATCTGATAAGAGTTATGATTCTTTCTGTGTAAAAATGAACTCCTTGAAACTTTGTCTAGAGTCCAGATCTCTGGTCTGGACATGCGGAAAGATAAGGAATACAGTAATTTGCAGTGTGTATTTAATAGAATCTTCCTTTGGGGACAGTTCTCATTTGATGCGGAATGGAACGTTGGCTTGGCTGTTTCTGAGGTTGATGTATTTTTTTTTTTTTTTTGTGGAGGACTTACTGTCAGAAGCCTCTCCTCTGTCCTGAGTAATCATTATCTCTGACAAGAGACAAGGCTTTTTTGTCTGTAGAGATGGTGGGAGATCTGGTGGCATAGTCCATAGGGAGCTACTCTGCTAATCCAAATGTTCGACTTTGCCTTCTGTGCAATTGGCACTCTTGGAAACCCACTGGAGAATTAACTGTGAGTTAATTCTGACTTGATGGCGGTGAGATTTGTGGTTTGTTTGTTTTTCTTTCTGTTTGTTTGTTTTGGTTTTTTTAACAGAGAGAGACTGAAGATATTCAGACTCAAGAAATTAATAGTTTCTTAGTTTCTGGATTTCCCACCTCCCTTAACTTGGGCTTAACAGAGATGACTTCATCATAGGCATTTCCTGAACTAGTATAATTTAGTGGTAAGATAGCAACCTGCAGTCAGGTAAGTCTGGTTTCTATTCTTGGCCCACTACATAGCTGCTTGATTTAGGGCAAATAAGTAAGCCTGAGCCCCTCCCAGTGTAAAATAGGAATAAACACACTGACCTAACAGTTGTTGTGAGGCTCAAATATTAAGAAAGCACTGAACTTTCAACTGGCACATACTTATTGCTGACAAGTAGATTCTGACTCTTGGAGACCCTACAGGGCAGAGTTAGGTTATAAACATTTAAAGAAGCTGACTGCTAAATCTTTTTCCCATGGAGGGTTGATGGGTTCACACTACCCACCTTTGAGTTCTTGTTACTGATTTGTTGTTAAGTGCTGTCAAGTATGACTCATAGTGATCTTGTGAACAACAGATCTGATCTCTGACCTATTCTGCACCATCCTTATAATTTCTGACTCATGAGTCCCTTGTCACAAATACTATCATTCCATTTTGTTGAGAATCTTCTTCTTTGCTGGCTCTCCATTTTTCTAAGCATAATGCTCCTTTCCAAGGACTAGCCCCTCCTCACAGCATGTCCAGAGTATGTGAAATGAAGCTTTGCCGTACTTGCCTCCAAGGAACACTTTGGCAGCCCAACAAGTAGCCACTGTGCTACTAGGGGCTGGCGTGTAATGCTGTTCAGTTATAATTTTTCAGCTGCTACCATCTTCCTCTTCCAGAGAAGAGACTAAGGTGCGTCTGATACAGGCCATGGTGTTTGCAATCACTTTTTATGCATCAGAGAGTTGGACAATGACCAAGGAGGATAGAAGGAGAATCGATGCCTTTGAGCTGTGGTGCTGGAGAAGAGTATTGAGAGTACCATGGACTGCTAGGAAAACAAACAGATTCATCCTGGAAAGGGTTAAACCGGGCGGCTCCTTGGAGGCAAGGATTCTGAGGCTTCGTCTAACATACTTTGGTCATTGTAAGGAGAGACCAGTCCTTGGAGAAAGACATCGTGCTTGGGAGGGTGGAGGGACAGCACAGGAGAGGAAGGCCCTCTATGAGGTAGATTAATTCAGTGACTGGGGTAATCGGGATGGGTGTGTCGGAGACAGTGCGATTGGCACAGGACAGAGCAGAGTTTAGGGCTGTTGTACATAGGGTCGCTATGAGTTGCAAGCGACTCGACGGCACATAACAACAACAACCATCTTCCTGCACTTTGGGTTGTGAAGAGTTTGTAATCCTTAGATTAGAACTTACCAAGAGAAGAGGGACTTTTTTTTTTTTTTCATTTGGGGACAAGGAGGAAGTCTCATGCCTTTATGCTGGTTGTTAGTAACTTAACTCCTGGTGTATTAACGGTTGGATAGAATCCTGATGAAGTTATGTCAGAAAGCCCTGAAAATTAAAAAAAAAAAAAAAAGCAGCCTTCCATCTCTTTTGTTCCTAATAATATTCTAGTAACTTAAATTGTCACATATCTTACTAGGTGAGTTTCCCCCTTGTCATGACCAGACTTGCTTGCTTATCTGTTTGCTTTACAGGAGAAGCTCACCTTGGCCTTGAGCTTCATGTCTAGATACCTCATGAACTCAATGGCAAACAAAAGGTAGTTTTGTAGAAATGAAAGTGAATTACTTTGTTGATTCTGAGGGACGTTCTGAATTTTCAAGAATTGGGTTTCTTTTCATTTTCTGGCCTTAGCTTCTAGACTTACTATTAGAGATCAGCCCTTTAAACACAGTCCGGCCATCTGATGTGCACAATTCACTCATCTAATGTGTATAATTCAGT